CCCCAAAACCCCAAAACCCCAAAACCCCAAAACCCCAAAACCCCTATAATTTTTATAAAAATTGGTAAATTTTAGATAAAATCAATGGACACTTATCCCTCTACATCTCCAGATGTCAGGATCAAACCTGTCAGCAGGAAGAAAAGCAGGCTTCAACCAATCAGACCAGATGCCTTGAGAAGGACCCAAACTGGCTTTGGAAGCGGAGATCAAACTAAAGCTGTACAAATACTCCTTGAAGAAAACGATCGATTAAAGAAAGAGCTTGAACAAGCCAGAAAAGAAATCTTTGCACTTCGAGAAGAAAATCTTGAGCTCAAGAAACAATCCAGAGGAGGTCCGATAAAAGGCCAGTCTACATTTGTGACCTCTTCTAAGCCAACCAACAATGGAAAGTCGTCAGAAGACAGCAAAGTTAATAATGGAGAAAAAGTATGCAACAATTGTGGAAATGGAATTCCTGCTAATAACTACAGTCTCCATGTAATCTACTGTGAGAAAAATTTGACTGAGTGATCGTACTGCAAAATGAAGTTCAACAAAGCAGATCTAGATAATCATATCGAAGAAGAACGAGGAGTTTACCAAGATTTATTAGAAGCAGTCATTAAGGGGAAAACCTCTGATATTCAGACAATGTATGAACACGGGAACGACATTGCTGCAGTTGACCCATCAGACAGCAGCGAGAATACTCTTCTGCATATAGCAGTAAAGCATGGTAAGAAAAATACAGTAGAACTACTCCTAAAGCTAGGTCTGAATATTAATGCATTGAATAAGAATCATGAGTCTCCTCTACATCATGCTGTTTCGATAAAAGATGAACAGGATGCTCTAGAAACTCTAGAATTTATGCTTCTCAAAGGTGCAGATCCAACTCAAAAAGATAAGCTTGGGGATACACCAATAGAAAAATGTAAAAGACTTGGGAAGAGTAGTCTCCTAATGTTATTCCTCAACAGTGCTGATGAGAGACTTCCCACTCCATCTATGAACTTCCGGATGTAAGGAATATGCCAGAATTTTTTCATTAAATCTATTAATAATTCAGCTAAACAGTACTAGAAAGGGGTTTTGGGGTTTTGGGGTTTTGGGGTTTTGGGG